TGCCAGATTAGTAGCTACCTTAATTCATGATCAAACAGACTATGGATCGCCCCTGGGGGACAAACCAGAGAACTACTGTATCAATATGGCCCCGTCCCAACCTGTTGTGCCTCCAGAACTGGACCAAGTATAATGGTGAAGTTTATTTGGGCAAGATATTCCATGGTCCTCTCTTACATGAGAACATTCTCCAACAATCCCTTGATTAAGCCCTGTGCTTTTAGTACAAAATTCAGAACCCTTGAAGGGGCATTTGTTGATTTCCATAATCCAGTCTTGTTAATCTTTTGTCTCTCTCTCGGTGCATGCAATAGCGAAATGGACCATTCTGTGAACCTACCCTGTGCTTCCCCACGGATGTGCCCGAAGGTAGTTAGTTACTTATTCATCAATAATGGCACTTTTGGGGCGCCTGGGTGACTCCATTGGTCGAGCATCCAACTCTTGATTTCAGGTCAGATCATGATCCCAGGGTCATGAGATTGAGTCCAACATTGCACTCCATGCTGAGTATGGAGCCTGCTTAAGATTATCTCTCTCTCTCTCTCTCTCTCTCTCTCTCTCTCTCTCTCTGTCCCCTCCCCTGCTTGCACACAAGCACACACTCTCTCTCTAAAATTAAAAAAAAAAAAAAAGCACTCTTTACCTTTGCCCACATAATCTCTCAGTGCCAAGGCAGGCTTTACGAATCAACTGCCATTTGCATAAGAGATATAATTTGTTATCGCATCATTAAATTGTAAGCTCTTGGATGGCAGAGGCTATGTATTTCTTATTTTTCCTAAGACTCTAAAAATAGTGTGTTGGGAACATGCTAGGTATCTGATTAATGTCTGTTGAATGAACAAAAAACCTTGTTTGAAAGCATTTACCATCTGGCTTCCAGACTGGAACTTGTGGGTCGTGGTTTCAATCTGGTTACACATACATGGTTAAATTTGATCTTCGTAACAATTCTGGGCCATAGACAATATGATTATCCCCATTTTAGTAGGGGGAAGCTCAAATGCCAAGCCATTTGCCCAGATTTGATCCCTGATTTGCAAGACTCTAAGGCTTATGCTCTTAATCACTGACATGCGGGTGCATATGCTTGTGATGTGTTGAGGCTTCGGTTGTTCCTGAGTCAGTTGCTGTTTAGGTACCAATTTGAATAACTCAGGGGACGTCTTTACGAGCATCTTTGCTTGGCTGGTTATAGGAGCTCTGCTATTCTGCTCAAGGCAGAGAATGCAAAAACACTTAAACGTCTTCGACAATCCAGGCTGCTACAACCAAGTATCTTGGACTGGGAGGCTTCTAAACAACAGAAATGTGTTTTGTACAGTCTGGAGGCTGGAAGTCTGAAGTCGGAATCAGTGTGCTAGCGTGTTCAAGGTCCTGGGAGAGCCTTTTTCTGGTTGCAGACTGCCAGTATCTTTATATCCACACACAAGGGAGAGAGAAAGAGAGAGCAACGCTCTTGGGACTCTCATTGGGGCAGTAACCTCATTCATGAGGGCTCCACCCTTGTGACCCTACCTAATCCTGATTACCTCCTGAAATCCCACCTCCCAATACCATCACACGGGAGAGAGGGAGAGTTACCACATGAAATTTGGAGTGACACCCACATTCAACCCGTGACTGAATTTCTTCCCCCACAAATACATCTAGAAGTGAAGTATTGAGATCTACATATTCTCTAGTGTTAAAAAACAAAACAGAACGAATCAAAGGAAGCTACGGAGTCTTTCCCAAACATCCCATTCTTCCCTGCGTTAGCAAATGGGAGTAGGGAAAAGAAGCCAAGGTTGATCGTGCTTACTCTGTGCCAGGCACTACGCTGTGTGCGTCGCGTGCATTATTCTCCTGAACAACACCCATTCATCTTAAAGACTTCACTCAAGCATCACTTCCCGGGGGTACCCTTTCCTTGACGTCCTCTTCTGTCACAGAGTTGACCCTTCTCTACTTTGTGCTCCCACTTGGCCCCTAACGTGGCCTCTCTGAAGCTGTGTGGCATATACCGGTGTCCATTTCTGCTCATTCTCTAGACCCGCCTGTCCAAAATGGAAGTTGCTAGACACAGGTGCTCCTGAACCTTTGCAGTGTGTCCAGTCCACACTGAGATGTGCTGCATTAAAATACACACCAGACTTTGAAGCCTTAGTATGAAAAGTGGAACATAAAAAATCTCAATAGTCTTTATGCTGACGGTATGTTGAAATGACAACATTCTGTATTTGGGGTCACATGAAATATTAAAATTATATATATTTTTACGTTTTTACTGTGACTGTTGGAAAATGTAACCTTGTATGGGGCTCATCTTCATATTTTTCCTAGATAGCACAGTTTCAGACTGAGTTTCTTGAGGAAAGGTTTGTGTCTTATTTTCTTTCTATTACTAGGACCGGAACAGGCTCGTGCACCCAGTAAGCGTTCACTAAAAACCTGTTGAACAAACGTATGTCTTCATTTAACATGGAGCCCCAGGTCTTCTGGTCCCAGTGATGGGACCTGAAATTTGGCAGAAAGACCCCAATGAACTAACTCATCACAGTGGAGGTTGGGGAAAGGGGAGCGTTTTGGCTGTCTCCTCTCAGTAGAAGCTGTACTCTTCAAGTCAAAAGACCAATTAACAAAACACAAAACAAAACAGAAGGGATGCTGTGAGCTAATGGGACAGCCAGAATGGGGGAGTAGTTAGTAAGCCTGGAATATGGTTGATGGAAAACCTCAAAAACTTCCCCCTCTGACTTCAGAAGAGCAAATTCCCTGGAAGAGCTCCAGCAGGAGCTGTGGGAACTTCCCTGGTCCATATCCCGTCACTGCTTCCATGTATCCTAATGGCTTCCTGTGGCTGTCCATCTGACAGCATTGTCTGGCCACAGCCACGTGGGTGGTTCACACAAGGGCAAGGTCAAGAGCGTCAGGGAATCAACACGCGGGTGGAAATAGCCCTCTACAATGATGGCGTGGAAACTGATGGAGAAATGTGACAACTTGCTCACTTTTCAAATGGGACAGCTGGGGGACCTGTCTACCTCTCCCACAGCGGTAACCTGCTCATCAACATACCCTGAACTGGCTTCTTCCCTTTCCTGTTTTATATTCCCCTCCCCTCTCCTCCCCCAAGCTGTCCTTCTTGGGATCCTTGTTTCATCGTCTGATTCTGGAGGACCCGAACCAGGGCAGCGGCAATCGAGGTACTTGATGTCTAACTGAGACCCACACTTTGACCCATCTCATATCCCTCTTCCCGCTGAACCCCGCCTTTACTCTTGGTAATCACCTCCGTGCCCCAACTTTCATGCCACACCACCACACATCTTCGTTCCTTTCCACAGAAATCCAAGATTATCGAGCGGCATCCAAGACCTCCAAACCTGGTACCGACTTCCCATCATGCCATGCTCCTGTTCCACTCCATCCCCATGTGTGCATTTCAGGTACATTCTTCTCTCTACTCCTCAATATGTCCTCAAAAGTCCTTACCTCTTTGCTTCTACACACATTTCCCTATGCCCCCAAACGGCTTTTGAAAGGTTTACCTCCATTACCACCCAAACCTCATTCACGACGCTGAAAGGAATTTTGTTTCCGGCCGCTTGACCTCTTCCCCGTTCTCAGAGTTGTAAGTGAAGATGTGGGTTTTAGTTTAGATTCCAGTTTTTGTTGCTGGAACTGTGTTTAAATGTGACAGTGCACCAACACTGGCTAAGTGAGACCACAAGATTTATACGGAGTACATGAACTTTAAGTAGGAATATATGAGAAAACTCTTCGTGGAGACACTTTGAGAGAATTTTACTGACAAGGCGAGTAACTTTCTACTTTGTAAATTCAGGTTTAGGTATGTGGCATTTTATTGACATGGAGCTTAGCTCTGTTTTTTTGGCTTACTGCTGAGAACACCTTAAACATACTAAAGCCTCCCTAATCATGAATTCCTCTTTCATGAAATCTTAGCCTTGGGGATTTAATTTGTGTATCTCTTTGGTAACCTTGAGGATATTGGATCATGAAAATGTAAGTGGTTGAGATGTGTGAGTTTTAAAATCAGTACTTGAGGGGTGGTTCAGTCGGTTGAGCATCCGACTTCAGCTCAGGTCACGATCTCATGGTTCGTGAGTTCGAGCCCCACATCAGGCTCTGTGCTGACAGCTCAGTGCCTGGAGCCTGTTTTGGATTCTGTGTCTCCCTCTCTCCCTGCCCCTCCCCTGCTTGCACTTTGTCTCTGTCTCTCTCAAAAAACGAGTAAAAACATTACTTTTTCTAAAAAAAAAAAAAAATCACTAACTCACTGAATATTTCATTGGAGGACCAGAAAAAAAAATGCTTCTTCATATGCATAGTATTTGCTGCAAAGCAAAACAAATTTACAAGCATGTTCTTGAAATCAGAGGAAACAGACTACCTGAAGAGTTTCTGGGGAACAAAGACTGGTAATTTGAAATGCATCCTATCTCACCCTTATTTAAGCCAAGAAGCATGATACGGTGGTTAAAAGCATGGATTCTAGCTTGGATTGAAATCCTGGCCCCACAACTTACTAGCTGTGTGATCTTGGGCAAGTGCAAAATCTTAATCTTCACTTTTGTCACCTATGGAATGGGTGTAATGATAAACCTTACCTCTCCGGGCCCTTGGGAGTTATTATATATGTTAGTTATGATTTTTATCTATACAGCTTTCTTAACAGCATATAGTAGGTGCCTTATAAATGCCATTATAACTATTGCCATTATTATTATATGATGTCTTGGACAGTTCTTTTCTTTAGTGGTTTTACTTTCTTGCTTGAGGGAACTTGAATGTTTTTTCTTTAAAAAAAAAGCCTTTAGCTCGTCTTATTTCGACTCCTGTTTTCTCTATACAGTCTTTAGTTTCTCATTTGAAGATTCTTCTGTCACATATTTTTAATTTCTTTTTCTTTTTTGGTCACCCACTCCTTACATTTTAATAGTGGTGATGTTTTCCCAACAGCCATGGATGTGGGGTCACTGACGCCAGGCTAGGTTATGCTATGCTGAATACTTTATTATATATTTTATGTAAACATAATTTGCTTTGTAGGCACAATGTAACAAAAGCTCTAAAGCCACAAATACATTAGACAATGTTTCAGTTCACTCCAATCAAGTTTAGATGACAGAGAAGCCTTCACAGTTCCTTTAAGGCAAACTGAGACTTTCTTTACATTTCCTTCAGAAAACCAATCACGTGACAGGAAGAAGGTGCTTAAAAAACGAGGGTGCATTAAAGGGTTAATTTTGGCATTTATCCTGTTCTTCAGGGCACAACCTGACCTTGATAGTGAGACTCTAGTTTTCCTTCTCACTCTGTATTCCGAGGAGCCAAAAGGGTTTCTTCTTTAACCAACGGCCATAATTTGACTGTATTAATCTTGCTAGTTGAAAAACAGATTTGGGGAAGCATGATTTTTTTTTTTTAAATGCCTCTCCTCTGGACAGAACAAAGGCCAGTGGTGGGACTCTGCGAAGAGAGTTCTCGCCCCCCTCGCAGAGGACAGCCCTGATGTGGCCGCTGGCTCTTTGTTACCCCAACCCTAGAAAATGCCATTTCTGTCCAGCTCACCAGGAATGTCACTTGGGTGGTTCTCCTTAAAACCTCATTGTCAGCTTGGTTATGGGAGAAACACGACCAATAATACAGCATTTAGCGAAAGTTTTGGGGGTGGGGAGATAAACCTCCACATTATCTTTCTACGTGGCCCAGAAATGAAACGCCGGTGAGTCTTGGGGTATGAACAGAAGATGTCAGTGTCTTCTGAGATACTGTCACCTCCCTGCTCATCAGATGGCGGCACCCTTTTTTGCCTTCATATTTTACAAGTACATTCACAACGAGGAGAAACTCCCTTCAGATAAATATTTGGCATAAATAAGTCATCATCACAAGCTTGGGGTAGGAAAAAAAAAGAATGTGATTAATGAGGTGACATTTGTTACAAAAGGACTTTGGAAATGAAAAGGTAATTGCTGGAATGCATTCATTCCCATCATTTGGGGAAAGAGTTGGGTCGACCCTAAGGCTCACTGGTGGAGAGGTGGAGCAAGGTGGGAGCCCTCCAAGGTCTTCCAGAAAGCAAAGTGACTTGGGGGGGGGTTGCTAATAGTGTGGGCTCCATGTGTCTCCAGCTTGGTTTGTGAATGAAGGAGTCACCCTTTGAGCCAGGAGTAGGAGCAGTGAATGAGGAGCCCCCTTGTGGAGACACTGAGACTCTTCCTCATCCATCAGGGGAAAGGTTCGCCTCAAGGCATGTCAAGTATGGTGGGGCTGGGTGTGGGGTTTCCTAGGAGTTTAGGAGCTGGAAAATCGGACAAGGGTGTGCAATCAAGTACTTTGGTCCCCGATTACCAAAAAGCAGGGGCCCTACAAAGAGTCTGCACCGTAATCTTATATTTCAGAGGAGAGGAACTGCACTCTTGGCATCAGATACTGAACGTCAACCGTTTGTATCGCTAGAGTTTGTTACATGTCGGAACATGCTTTGGCAAGAAAAGAGACACTCACTGATTTTCTTTTTCCCCAAATATGGTCTACAAGGGAGGTCTTCCCCGGGGGATCCTTGGTAAAGGTAGCTGCTCACTACCAGGAAATGGAAATAGCAAAATCGGTAATGCCCGTGGCAGGTGTGCAAATGTAGGCAAATCTCGGTAATGACCTCTGAAATAGTCCCACACGTGGTGAGTTTTCTTACAATTGAAATAAAATGTACGTGGTGGGGGAGGGGAGGATTTTGCTCATGAGACATGGTTTCAGAGGAGAAGTCTCTGTGGCTGGTCCTCAAACTCATGCTGTTGACCCATCCTCTATCCTGAAAACTCCACGTCTGTTTTCCTGTGTTGATGGTTAAGAACCAGTGAAGGGATCAAGCATCAGAGGCTGAGAGGAGAGTGGTTCAACCTCTGGACCATTAAACAACTCAATGCATGTAAGGAAGTTGCCTCTTGAACGGGGAGAGGGAAAGGATTGTTTGGAGAGATCCTAAATGTATGGGCTCATGAAAACACCTCCCGGCCTACCCTCTTTCTGCCAGCCACATTGGCAAGCGCTCTTGTCAGAATCATGGGTGGCTGGAGGCAAAAAGTGTCGCTGGCCTGAAGCTTCCCAGGATCTGGACGCTGCTCTTAAGATAACACCCTTCAGTCGAAACTTGTCTTTGCCCACGTCTGGTCTTGTAGGCACTGGGCCTGAGGGCTTGTATTAATTTGCAAGGCTGTTCTAAGAACTGTCAAGAAGGACCCAAAGATGGATGGTTGTGAAGGAGGGGACAGGGGAGAGAGTAACACACAGGTGGGGGAGGGACTTAATACTGCGTGGGATGGGATTGGCACTTAATTTCAAAAACAACAGTGATCAACAGCTTTTTAGCTCAGCTGACTGCAGACAAACACAACACACAGTGGGCTACAGCATTTGTTCACTGGGGCACAGAAGAACTTTCTCCACCGGCTCCTCTTGTTCCAAATCATCCTCCGTGTTCTCCTGCCAGGGTCCTGGGTTACTGGATGAAGGGCATCCGCTCCTTGTTCTCGCTGTCGCCCTCGTGGTCCTCCTCCTCTTCCCCCGCCTCGCTGGTCTCTGTGCTGTCGTTGGCCATCTGCAATTCAACACAGGGCGTTTTAGAAGGTCTGCAATGTCTCCTCCCTTCCTGGAGCATCTGAGGAAGCCCCTTGGGAAGGCCTCCTTCCGAGGGCTAAGAGTTAGGGTTGTTTCCTTCCCCAGGAGGGCAGTGTGGTGCCGCCTGTTTTAGGGTGGGGGCCCTGACGTAAGGATCTGAGTGCAAGGATTGGGAATTTGGGAGATGATTCCAAGGAAGCGCTGGTAGGGAGGAAGGAGACGAGACAGAAAAGGCAAGGGAACCTAATAAGTAGGCTCCTGATGTGGGCAACTGGGGCTCAGTCCTCTTGGGGACCACTGGGAGACAGTGAGGGGCATGCCCCTCGCAGGTGTCCCGCATATTGGGGGCGGGGGGGAGGAAGCCAAGGAATGGCCAAGGTGGGTATCTCCCTGGCCTCTCTGGCCAGTTCTGGACGTGCTGGCCGCACATGCTCCTGGGGCTGGAGGCTCTCAGTCAGAGGGGCCAGGTGCTGGGGGGCGCCCTTAGGCACTGAGAGCGTCCACTGCACGGACTGGCCGGGGTTGAAATCCTGGTGCTGTCACTCCCTAAGAAGCCATGACAACCATACTAACAAATGTGCATTCGTGTCCTTTATTGTCTACACAGAACACCGTGTCCACGAATGTGGACTTTGGTTCTAGCAAGCTAGCCATCATCACCAGTCCCTGGCGTGGTTATTATCCCTCTCTGAGCCTCCCTTTCGTGGATGGTTACAACGGGGGAAAAAACCCACCTGCCTTACAACGCTATCGTGACGACCAAGTGAAACAAAGTAACATGATGTACTTGAAGCGTCCAGCAACGGGCCGAGCGCATGACGGATGCTCAAGACATCCTAGTCCTGTCCATCAGCAGCCCCCTTAGCGAACTGGGCCTCAGATTTCCACTCCTAAGCCCCAGTCGACGTCATTTGCCCCGAAGCCCAGATCTCCTAAACCCGAGTCTTTGCCTACGCCCACCACTCATTCTTTCAAACAGGAATTGGGCCCATGGTCCTCGGGCCTCCCCGCGTTGCCTGTCCTGGAGCTGGATTTGCCCTCTTGGCCGCAGGCAGTGTCTTCTTCCTGCAATGCCAGCCCGCCACTCCCTCCCCTAACTGGTGCCTACTTTGCTTTCAGCGCTCAGCCCGCTTCCTCAAGGAAGCCTTCCCAGACTACCCTAACTGGAACGGCCCCCCCCCCCCCCCCCGCATGACCAGCTCTTCTTTGTAGCACAGATCAGCAGTGTCCCATCTGGACGGATGGCCTCTTGACGGCCATCCACCTGCCCCGCCACGGGAAGCGCAGACACCGTGGAAGATGACCAGGTCTCCTCTTGTCTTCCTGTGTTATCCTCTGCAACTAGCACAGGGCCTGGCACGCAGGAGCGTAGAGTACGAACTCTGAGAATAGCGAGCGAATAATCGTGAGAGCTCTGGGGGCGCCTGGCTGGCTCCGTCGGTTAAGCATCCGGCTTCATCTCCGGTCATGATCTCGCGGTTCGTGAGTTCGAGCCCCGCGTCGGGCTCTGTCTCTCTCTCTCTCTCTCTCTCTCTCTCTCTCTCTCTCAAAAACAAATAAACATCGACAAAAATAATCACAAGAGCTCTGCCTTCTTAGTATGTACCCCACATTCACCAGTGTGCCAGGGGACTCAGGCACATTACCCCTTTCCATCTTCTCAACAAGAAGCAGCAGAAACAGTAACTACTGCCCCCTGTGCAAGGTGGGCAGGCTCTGTTTTCCCACAGCGCGCAGGGACACCCAGAGGTGACGTGCCCGGGGCAGTGGCGGGGTGGCAGAGGTCGGCAGGCTTCAGAGAAGGCTGCCACTGTTCTCAGGGGCGCCGGTCAGGCCGGGGCCAGAGCTGCGCCCCGACGCCGTGGGGTCCGGAGGAAGCAGCCCGGTCTCTGCTGGGACCCTGGGACCCGTCCTCAGGTGAGCTCAGCTCCGCCCTGGCTCAGCCACATTGACGGAAGGCCCCACGCAGGAGAGCCTTCACTCTTGACAGGCACTTCGTAGGCACTCCTGGCAAAGGCACTTCCAGAGCGCTGCCCGAGCCCCTCGTGGCCCCGATAGTTCCTGGAGGAGGGGGAGTACCGTGCAGTGTACTCAGCGAGGCAGATTCGGGGCCCTTGGCTTGGCCTGAGCTCTGAAAGTGGCCCTTCTAATAGAAGAAGGCCCCTCTGTAGGCCCCGCACTGCCCCCACCCCCAACAGCTGCCCAGTGGGAAATGATGCGTTCCCGAGGGGCCTTGACCCCGTGCCATTTCCTTTCGTTAGGCGCTTGCCGTAGAAAAGATTCGCCGGACCCATCTTGGCTCTCACGATGTCCTCTGTTTATTTAGCCTGACTACACGCTCCTCCTCCTTCAGGTCTCGTCTCTATCCAGGCAGGCCGTGGCCTTCTCCCCGCAGAGGCCTTCCAAACACCACAGATCTGAGTTGGCCACTCACCACATCTCTTTGTTTCTTTCGGTCCTAAGGTCGAAGTCCTCCTGAGTGAGATTCAGGAACCAGCACCATGGCAGGTCCTGAGGTCTCACCCTCAAAGTTGGGCTTTTCAGCCCAACTGGTGAGAATCCCCTGTGGTCAAACAGGCCTTCCCAAAGTCCAAGGGCCCAGCGGGACCTCCTGTGTAACAGTCACAGGCAGGAAGCTGATGTCAACTATCTTGCTTAAAACAAACTGTCCAGGATGGTTCTAGATCCCCTCTACTGATGGGGTAAAACAGACCTGGTCATGTGTCTTAAGAACAACAGAAGTGCACAGAAGACCCGAGAGCCCAGCCCTCGCCTCCTCCCTAGCCTCAACCCCTCATCTGCCTTCAGATACTTGCTGTCACACCCCTAGAACTTCATAAGCACTTAACATACGATGTCCCTATACTTGTTGGTCATTTGTACTTTGTGAAATGCCCTCTCATGAAATCACCCTTCATTGAGTGAAATGACCATCCTTCCCGAACTACATTATGGTTACAAAAGCCAAGGTACACTTACAAAAAAAAAAAAAATACACACTAAAACATGCAAAGATTTTAGTTCTTTTTTCTTTTATAAATGCCCGATGCAGGTTCAAGACTCAACGGGTGAGAAAGCGAAGAAACAAAAAACCCCAAGTATTTTCGCTGTTAATCCTTTCCCAGAACTTAGTATGCACGGGACAATGCCTTATGTGTATCACTCTAATTGACTTGTGAGAACTTCGTTTGCAGACAGGGCTACTGAAGATAGACAGGCGGGATAATCGCCCAGGGTCACACACAGGAGAGGAGAGCCAGGCTCTGAATCCACGCAGTCTGATGGCGCTCTGTGTGACGGCACTACATTGCCCCCTCCCACCACCGGTGGCCCCAGCAAGCAGGTTGGGGAGTGACTCTGACACGCTTCACTCCTGGAGGGATCCCTGCACGTAAGGGTACCCTCAGGAGGCATCTCGGAGGCAGGTGGCATCCTTCTGTTGATACTGTGCGTGACTCTATTAGATTTTACCAGGAATTCCTCTCACCTGTGGCAACCAAGAGGCAGCACCTGTGATAGGCAGGTTATCCCTATCTTTCCTGACTGCCCTTAGATTGCTCTTGAAATGCTCGCACTGAAGCATTTCCTTTCCTTCTCAGCACGCACCCCAGCGGTGTGACTAATTGTCCATTTGCATGGTTGTTTGATTACACAGGTCTCCTCCCCGAGCCAGAGAGCCGCCTGTATTTCCCTCTCCCCGACCTGTGCCTGCGTCTGATAGACCCTGTCGTGCTGAACTGAACGGATCCCTCTGCGTTTGACTCACCAGTGGAGTCGGGGTCTTCTCTACATCCAGAATTAACTTGCCGATGTTTCCTCGGTCGTGGATCCGCTGCATGGCCTCCTTCACCTGAGCCAGGAGAAAAACGGAAGCGCTGATTGGGTGAGAAGTTGCCCAGGTGGAAAAGCCAAACCAGCCGCCGCCCATGTGGGGGCGCTGTGGTTCAAGGTTAGCAGCCAAGCCAGAGATGCTTTGGGACCCTGGGTGGAAATAAATTCTGATTGTGTCACTCAGGCACTCTGAGCTTGTGCAAGCAACTTGGTCCTCTGGGTCTAAGAAATGAAAGTGACAGTCCTTGTAATAAGACGACGAAATTTTCTTTAAAAGGTGGGGAGGGGGGGAGTTGGTGGGGAGGAGGGTACCGTGAGGTTCCAAGAAAGACATCAGTCAGAGTAAATTCTGACCGGTAAAATTACTTTCCTCAGAGTCACTTGTGCCCTGCTTACCAAAGTGTTCTATAACTCTGATTCGTAGTTTAACTAAAATGATCCATTGCCCAAGCTAAACTATATTCAGGAAAATTCCCTTAGGTTACTCCTGGTTATTGCGTGGAAATTTTGTTTCTACGTAAGTAGTTTTCTCCAGAACTAGTATTCTGTCCGGAGAAGAGGACCTACTTTTCCTTTCAAATGATACGGGCTTACTTAAAAAGCAAGCGTGTGCCCTGATCTGATTTATGCTTTGAGCATTTCACTCTCTGGCTGTGCGGAAAATGAGCTGTAGGGGGCGCTGGTGAGGATTAAATGAGATAAGCAAAGGGCAACCATGCCCAGTGCCTGGCATGAATAGGCCCTCCACATTTCTTAGTGAAATCTAAATGGAAATACAACATCTCTTGATTTAAAAAAAAAAAAAGTTACAAGAGATCTGGCCTAAATATTTTTTCCTAAAGTCTCAGATTTTTAAATATTTTTGTTCACTCATTCAAGTCCACAAGTATTCATGAAATGTCATTATAGGCTACATGCCATAGTTTTTATTTGTTTGTTTGTTTTTGTTTTTGTTTTTAGTTTAAAGTAAGCTGAGATGTCTGTCTTTGAGGAAACCTGTCTTCCCGTTTGGATAAAAACCTGAGCCGTTAAAATGTGCATACTCTAATTGCTTTTCTGGGACTTAGCCTAAAGACATAATTCAAATTGTGGGGGGAAAAACTTACCACACAAAAGATACTCAATCACAGCATTGCTTTTAACCTTGAAACACTTGCAGCCACTTCTGTATCACACAGTAAAGGAATGGTTAAGTAAACCACGACTCTTAGATTTAGCTACAGAATGGAAATACTATGTTGCTATTAAGCTGCTAATTACAAGGAAAGTACAGCAGGGTCAAATGCCTTTGTAATGGTGCTAAATGAGAAAATCGAGATGCATATTTTTACTTACATCCCCATAAAAACGTGGACATCCTAAAATAATCAGAAAGGGGTTCAGACATGATAAAACATTAGGAGAAATGAGTGCATTTTAACTCCAAACATTGTTATTTGGCAATATGTTGTCAAATCAGTATGTAATGTAAGTTAAATGCATATTTAAACGTAGTCTTTGGAAAACCTAGTATCGGTTAGAATCAGCCCTTTTATAGACTGGTAGTGTCATGTGATTAAATTTCCTGACCCTGATACACATCCAGTAGATTTCTTTTATTTCTGTGGTGAACACTGCTTTTCAAAATGCTGTCATGTCTGGTCATCATGACTCTATACCGAGAATGTTTAAATACCGTGGCAGACAGCCTCCAGAATGGTCCCCAACCTTCCTTTCCCCCTGACACACACCCTTTCTCCCTCGAATGTGGGCCAAACCTGCTGACTTGCTTCTGACCGTTGGAAAACAGCAAAAGTGATGGGATGTCACCTCCAAGATTAGGTTATAAAAGACTGATTTCTGTCTTGTCATCTCTTCCTCTGACTCTTCGTGCCTTCTTGCTCTGGTGACACAAGCTGCCCTGTTGTAAGCTGCCCTAGGGAGAGGCTCACACGGCAGGGAACTGAGGCAGACCTCCCACCGACAACCACTGACGGACTGATACCCTCGGTCCAAAAGCCCATGGGGAACTAGCTCCTGTCAACAACCAATGAGAGAGCTCAGAAGCAGATCCTTCCTGAGTTAAGCCTAGAAGTGAGAACGCAGCCCTGGCTGACACCTTGGGAGACCCTGAGCCCAAGGACCTAGCTAAACCATGCCCAGGTTCCTCACCCATGTAAGGTGAGATCACAAATATTGTTTTAAGCCAATAAGTTCTGGGGACATTTTGTTATGCAGCAATAGATAACTAACATTCTTTCCTTTCATACATAGTTCTTGTCTTGTAAGATATATGTCATACCCATTTTACAGCTAAGTACCTTGATGCTCAAAGATCAAAGCAATCTGTCCAAAGACTATGTGGCTATCAGTGACAGAACTGTGGTTCAAACTCAGGTTTGTCAGACTTCAAAACTGAGGCTTCCTCCCCCTGCCCCCCGCCCCCGTTCCACCCAGACTATGTTGTTTCATTTGATTCTCAAAGGCAGAGGAAGGTGGTAGGTAACATCTCACATAATGATTTCCCAGAATTCAGTTGTTTATTACCCTGACAAGTCATTAAGCACCTGGAAACTCCTTGGAGACTCGGAAGAATTTTTGTGCCATTTCTCCAGTAAGATAGAGCCCAGGGACACTGAAAAGCTGTTTTCTTTCCAGTTAAAGCTTATTGTGATACTAGAAAAAAGCCCCCCGAAGGGCTGGCTCTAATCTGCATATTTTCTTGGACAATTTCCTTCTGAAATGAACTGACTCCTTGAAGTTCCTTTTGAAGGGGATAGAGAAAGGGTTGGGAATGTTTCTGAGACATAACTGAACTAGTCTGATCCCCAGTCATGCTGTTTGAGTTTAACATCCTCTTAGGCTGCTCTTGGAGATGTGAAAGAGCCCTTTTGATGACAGCATAGAAGGAAAGAAATGGCCATTTTCTGATCAATTTTTTATCAGGTGAGTCACTTTACACACGTTGCTTCCTTTTATCTGCACACCACAGGTTCACAGATGAGAAACCTAAAGGTGAAAAATCTAAGGAATCTGTCCCCGGTCACCCACTGAAAGGAGTTCGAACCACTTGGGAACTGAGAGAGCAGTTACCCCTTTACAGGACTCTGGACAAAAGCCAGGACAGGGCTCTGCTGTCTGCACCCCGAAACCGCCCTCACATAACTCCATCACGAGGTAAAGTCTGCAAAAAAGAGACTTTGCTCCCAAAATACCAGTTCGTAAATTGAGAGATATATGTTATACCCATTTTACAGCTAAGTACCTTGATGCTCAAAGATCGGTAGGTGACAGTGACCTTGGTAGGTGACAGTGACCAAAAGATGGTGGTGACAACTCCCAGAGAGCTCCTTGTCTCTCTTGTGGCTACCATTTTTGTTTTTTGTTTTTTCCTAAGGGACACTTCTGCTCCAAACCTTTTCCCAGCGCACTTGATGATAGGAAAATCCTAGTAGCCCCGCACTGCCTAATGCAGTAGCCACAAGTCACATGTGGCACTGAGCACCTGAACTGGGGCCAGCACAGACTTCGATGTGCTGTGCGTGTAAGCCACGCGGCCAACTTCAAAGACGAGAGCAGATACACTATCTCGTTACGAATTGTTGACATCAATCATGTGGTGAAACGTTAACATGATAAATACGCTGGCTTAAATGAAACAGACTACTAAAGTTAACCTCCCCCACTTTTTACTTCTCTGGATGTGGCTACTACAAAACTGAAAACGTGGCTTGTGGCTCACATAGTCATCCTGCTGGACAACACTGGACTGACTTCTCAGGAACGGACGTCTGTTGTCCTTTCCTGTGTCACTACTTTCTCTTACACCTCCCTCACTCCTGCCACTGGACGCTTATCTGGAGGTTCCTGGGCTTCTCAGTTTTGTGCCTCTGTATACACGGGGTTCCTTCCTGGACTTTCCTGGTCCCGGAGCTAACTTGGATTTGTTCTGGGGCTCTTGTTCTCGATGTGGACCCTTCTAGGAAGCTGCTATTCCCCCGCCCCCACTCTGGCATTTGGGGCCAAGTCTCCTTTGGGCTCCCTGGGCACCTCAGGCCAGCTATAACATCACCCTTACCCCCAGCTTGGAACTTGGCCCTTCTTCTCTCCAGTACGTTAGGCCAGTGCCGTGCAGTGGAGATACGAAGCGGGCTACAAATACACTAAAATTTCTCTAGTTACTCACATTAACAAATGTAAAAAGAAACTGGTAAAATCAACTTAAAGAATATATTTTCTTTGACCAAATCTATCCAAAATATTATCACTTCAGTATATGCTCCACATAATAAGGTCTTCATGAGATATTTTATGCTCCTTCCTCCTTTCGTACTCTACGTGTCTGGAATCCAGGGTGTATTTTGTTCTTACAGCGTGTTTCAATTCAGATGAGCCATGCTTCATGTGCCCAGTGGCTGCACATGGCTCATGTCTACCGTATTGGGGAGTGCGGCTCTAGATGGTGGGACAGTGGCACCAACCTCAGGGACCCCAGTGCACGGGTGTATTGGGCATATGATAGCCTCCAGGATGAACGGATGGATGAATAAGCAAGTGGTATGTGGAGCGAGTGAGAGGTCACGTGGCTGAGCCACACGAGAGGTTTCTGTCTCACCTGACGCTCATCTCAGAGCCCTCGGCCCAGGCAGCTGCCTGTGGGGGGCCTGCTCAGTGCTGCCCGGGTGTCCCAGTGGAGTCTGTTTGTAATCAGGGCCGTGGCCTCTCCACCCAGTCTGAGAAGCCACCGCCAGCTGTGCGGCTGGCCAAGTCTGGTCTTGGCAGCTGGAATTTCCCGGGCTCAGGATTCGGGGCATACTCAGGCTATCTCAGCCAGAGCTGGTCTCCCCTCCAGACAGTGGGAGGAAATTTGAGTCATATGATTAAAACACCTCAAGATGCCAAGATCCTGAGCACAGAGGCTACCTGAGCTTTTCTGATACTTCTTTGCTGTCCCTGGGAGGCCACCTTGGTACCATCCCAAGTGGATGGCGGCAGGCGGCAGTGAGATCATCACTGAGTCCTACGCTCTGCTTCGCTGTC